AATATGGATTGCTGTCTGTTGTGACCTTATCAATGCCAAGGGAATAGAGAGGTAGTGAAGAATAGTTACCTTGATTAACATCAGGATCCACAACTTTGATCATTGAGTGATTATAATCAATTTCTTTCACATAGAATTTTCCCGAATTAGGGTGTAAAACTGTGACATTGTTCAAGCAAAATTGATGAGAATCAAGATAACAGCACACATATGACATCAAGTGAACCATTGTATATTCATGGAAGTCTGATAATGAAAGCAAGAGTTAAAAAGATACAAGAAGCTGTAAATGCGCTTATTGAGGAGATTTAGGCTAAAAGTAACACACAACAAGTGAATAAAAACTTGAAGCATTGTTAAGATTTAGTTAACATTTTTTAGGTCCAAGAACAACTTATTTGAGGTCGTTTTGACTTAATTACATAGTTTGGATTGAAATCACTCAATTCGACCACAAATGCACACTTTTGTTACAATATTGCAAACTGATATTTTGCATTATTTTAAATTGTTTTGAACGATTTTTATGTTATTTTCACTTAAATTTGTGTGTTTTTTTTTTTAAGTTATTTGGGCTAAAAATTGTTTTTAATTGAAAGTCTAATTCGTGTCTTATTAGGAATAACACAAATTCAAACATTTTTAGAAGTAGTGTACATTCAATTCTACTTTTAATTGGATTTGTGTACAGAATATAGTTTCTTATTCTTAGTTGGACTAATTTAGCTATTTAAAGGGTTGTAACCGTAATTGGAGATGGTTAATTGAATATGAGATTATTTGAGAACATTTTCTCTTGGTTCATTTGTGAACTTTACAGAACTTATGAAAGATTATTTTTGTGGTGTTCTAATTTGATTTATTACTTTTCTTCTTAATCGTTTTTTAGTGTGCATCAAAATTCCTTTATATCTTTTGTTCTTGTTACAATATAAATAACATGTCACAGTTTGTCTTCTATAAATCTTATTTGGCTTTCCTTGGGGTTTTGAATGTCTTTGTTCTTATTGCGCTTTTTGGGGTTCACATCAAGAATAGATTATACTTATACTTTAGGTCTCTACATTTTGGTGGATTGGTGCTTAATCAGAAAGGATGATGAAAATTCAGAATATTGCCACAAGAAGAAGCTGGACATTGATGGCTTGCTTTGGCACTGCAATTTTCATGAGGAAGGGCAAGAAGAAGGGCTGCAATGACGAGCCCTATTCTAGCCATAAGGAGACAAGCAGAGATGAGAAAGTCTTTGCTCAGTTTAATACTAATAGGTGGTGCAACCCCACAACTGTTTTTTTCTG